AAGGCTTGGCTCTACGGCTGATCAGGCAGCGAATTCTGTGTTCACTTCTGCCACTGGAACATGATCGCTAGTATTAGTGAAAACAAGAAAAAAAAAGATAACGCAGCCAGCCCTGTGATTTGAATCCAGCAGATAGATAGCATGGGTTGCATTCCAAGATATAGTCCTGGAAATACAATGTTTAGCATAGTCTGTGTTGCAAATTCCTGTAGCATTACCCATTTTTGTGACATTTGGAAAATTCTGTGGGATAGGGGAGGGTCTGAGTAACTCTAAACATCAGTAATAAGCTAGAGAAGCTTTTAACCCCAGGATATAAATCTTGGTCAGGCCCTGTTCTGTAATGTTGCTCTTTACCTTCTGTAGCTGTTCAGTGGTCGCTGTGAAGTGATTTGGAGGGGCTCAGAGTGGAAACTTCCTAACTGACATCTGTCCGTAATGTCACCGTGGCGGTCCTTCTGTCTTGCTTGTATTCTCTGCAACTGCACTGCCCTTTCTGCTCCTACAGGACAGCCCTGGGAGAGAGGATTCAAAAGCTTCTTGGGATCTTCTTTATGCTGCTTCCATTGCCATCCCAGTTTTGTAAGCAAGTAAGGGACTATGGAGTGGAAAAACGCTCAACCTGAAGTGCTCCCCATTTATTCCAATATGTTGGGCACGAAGGGAGAAATTCAGGCAAGCCAGAAAGTTATGCTGATCCTTTGCTGAGTTTTTTTTTATTGATGACTTTGAACCCCGTGACAGCCTGGGTCTGCAACCTTACCAGTCAATCCTGCATTTTGTGAGCTGGGTAGGGTACAAGGTGGCATCTGACTGTCTGAGAAACTTTGGAGTAGGAGGCAAACTCCTTCAATGGAGCTAGCTCGGATGAGACAAATGAGCAATAAAAAGTTTTCTTCAGCAACACCACCTACCAAGCAGTGAAGTTAACACTGTTCAGGTGACTAAAAGCAAAAAAGACCTCCTCCTCCCTAGCACTGCAGCATGTCTTGGCATTTCCACCTTCCCAAAGCAGGAATAGAGTCTGCTGGGAAATCCCCAGAGCATCACCCTCGTTTGTGGACGTGCAAGGGTCAGCACAGTGTAAGATGGCAGAGGCTAAGAGCCATCATCCTTGGCCTGCTACCACATAAATGACTGTCCAAAATGCTCGCTCACACTAATACTGCTGACTGTATAAACCCTTAGAAATCCCTTACACAGCCCTAGCTTTTGTAAGGCTTTTCACAGGGTCTCCCTGGAACCATGGCAGAAACACTGTGCGACTGACAAGCATCCGAGTGTCAGAGGACCAGGTAAAACCTGAATTGAAGGGGAACTGCCTCACCAACTACAGTACGAGGTCGCAATCTTGTACCTGGCCTCACTGTACCCAGCACTCACCCGACCTGACCTGGATCATGATGCATTGACAGGCCCCATGAAGAAACACTTCATGTAGTGAAGAAGGTCTCAGTGCGTCTGGAAGTCACAGGAAAAACATTTTGGAAGAAAGGGGCACATATTGGACAAGAATTTACTATATCTGGCCACTACTTCTGCCAGTGTGCCTTAAAGCCGTTGTTCTCCATTCATTTTAAAACTACACATACATGTTTCATGTTATTGTAGCATCAAATAATCAGTCCTAAAAATAAAAGAGATTGTACCACTTCAAACTGTAGTACATATAAATCACAAAAAACTACATTCACATTATGTTAAAAAAGTTCCCTTAAACCCACTAAAGGAAGAAAATAGTGCCAGGTACGTCCTGCGAACTACGGTCTGGCACACAGCACTTTTACTTACAATAAATTAAAGCATGGCCTACAGCCATAAACAGACCAGCACAGCAGCCAGGGTGAGTGATGGCTTTTGGATCATTCTCTTAATTTCCTGTACTTAGAACCCGTTTCAAAGTGCCCTATACTTCTCATACCTTGGAATACCTCTTTACAGTCCGTAAATTTGTTATTCGCAATGTACAGGTGGAGAAACTGAGGCATTTGCTGGGCGCAGGATTTGAATCTAGAAATTTCTGCCTCAGTGCTAAGCTGAGGTCAGCCCTCCTTTTGTGGGTTGAAGTGAAACTGTTAACAAGACAGTTTCCAAGATAGTTTCATTTCTTTTGCTTGTTACTGTAATATATTACAAAGAAAATGTTGGAACAAGGTCTTCTACCGACATGCTTCTAGGGTCAGAGGCTGCCTCTGATTTAGAGAACGCTGCAGATAAATCCATTAAAACCCAGCTGGTTACTCAGAGCCCACAACACAGAAACAACTCAGGCAAACCAGGCCAAATTATGCTGGTCCTAATCATACACAGTCCTGTTTACTGTCACCCTTTGGTAGATGAGAGCAGAATTTGGCCTTCGGTACAGAATGGCTCTCAGAAGTCAGTGCCTGGGCATCCACCGTGTGGCCCTGCCGGAGCTGCACCAATGTGCACCTCGAATATGGATTAGCTACAGTAACCGTGTGTGCATTATGGATCCATAACGCAGGATGCACAGTGAATAAGCCTTTGGGGAAAGCTGGAAACTCTGCATATAAAACAGTTGCTTTTTATATCTTGTGTATTGGTTTTGTGGGTAAACAGCCTGTAAAATTGCATTTTAAAAATATAAATGTTTTCTTTAGTTACAGCAACACATAAAAGCACTGGGAACTAGCAGACATAGCTCCCCCCAGTCTTGGAATTCAGAGATGAGCAAATGGATTTGTAATACTTTCTGCCCCCAAGCCAACAACCAAAAATTGCTTCATTTTGCTTCCCACTTTCCAGCTAGGAGGAAATGCTTATGGCCAAGCTACACATCCCTGGGAACAGGGGCCATTTTGTGGCAGAACCTAAAAGACAGCAACACCACTAGTATATATCGGTACCAGCCAAATGCATGGGTAACAACGTCCCACTGTGCTTGTAGACGGATGAGCGTGTGCTTGGGCACTTCGCAGCACCAGGATGCAGACCCGACCAAAATTCATCTGAAATCAATAGGAAAGACATCCTTCGACTTTGGTGGACTTTGGATCGGGGCTGTTACAGGTTGTATTTGAGCCCAAAGTGCTGTTTGTATTTTCTGTTCTTAAGTTTTTAGTCATCTTCAGTCTTCTGGAGAAGAACATCTCCAAAAGCAAGGTGTATGCCCCAGGGTGTACACAGAAGAAACGAGGCAGCTCCTCTGCTTAAGGCAGCCGCCTCTTTTGCAAAACTCAGTCTGAATTTGAAACTGTTGGAAACTGTGTACAGAGACAGAGAGCGAGCGAATTAAAATACAAAACAAGCAGCACTTCAGTGGATTCGTGTGAAGGGAAAGGGACTCTGTAAAAATGACATGCTAAAGCTGAGCGCATCAGCTCTCTCCCTCTCCTCTGGTGATTTCAATGCCATATCTGATCTGCAGTTAACGTGGCCTTTGAAAATCAAATCATATTCCATTTGGTTCATAGTTTACCCTAAACAATAGCTGGTTCAGGTCTTACAGGCTGAGTAATAATGGGGTGAGACACGAAACAAGCAAAAAACTGCTTCATTTCCATGCTTCCAGCCAAACAAAGAAGTACTTGCAACAGCAAGAAAATAACCCGTACTTTAATTTGGTGAGTGGGAAGAGGAATTAGAGAAGTCATTGTTGTTCTATGACTCAAAAGTCAGTAAGCAGAACCTGATTAGACTGTCACCACACTGGAGTCCCTAAAAAACAGCAGTGACAGAGTTCTGCTTTGAAAGTGGTCTGAGACTAAAAAAACATTATCCATGATTCCCCTTTCCAGTTTTATGAACACAGCTTGTTCATTTAAAGTAAGAGCTGCAGAACAGGCACTCTGCCAAAAGACAATGTGCACTGTCTCATAATTAATTCAGACCCACAGTCAGAAATTTTCACAGCTCTGGAAGAGAGCCCGATCCTGTTCCCACTTAAATCGGTTCTAGTGACTTCGCTGGAAGCAGGCTGATGCCCATTATCTCTTGATACAAGCAAGTAAAAATAACTGAAAAAACACAGATATGGGTATGTCTGTATGGTTGTTCTAGTTCAGTATCTCACATAGCAACAAACAAAACAAAATCACCCCCTGATCGTGTTGCCATTAATGACTGATTATTTGCAGGGTCTTCCTGGAACTTGTCGTGCAGATTTATGAGGGAGTATTGCTATTTAACTTCTTCTTCCTTTTTTTTTACTATGTAGGATAGGGTTTTCATGTGCTGTTAATACATAATACTGATGAAGGCATGAGTGGCAGTTTTGTAGGGTGACAGGATGGCATGTTGAGTGCATGTTTGAGCCTATGTGGAATTTGGTCGGCTTTTAACTTGTTTTGGGACCTGCTTGTGAAACAAATCTGGGAGCCCTGTGCATGAATTCCCATTAGTTTTGTGATGAAGTTGCATATGTATATGTGATACCAGTGCAATGTATCAAAACCGCTGTGCTAAGTACATATCCTAGGCCATAGTCAATTTGCTTTAATGTTTCTCATCCTCTGATGTTTTTCTTCTTCTTTTATTTTTATGGTGCTCTACTTTCTGGCAGTGGCTGCCAGCTGAAACGAAGTGACCACCCTTGTGCTCAGATCACAGCCTGACAGGATAGCACATCCTCAACTTAGTCACCGTTATCATTTACTTACAACCAATGCAATTCCCCTCCCACCTCCAAAAACACCCACAAAAGAAAACCTCCGTTTCCTTGTTTTTTAATTATATATCTTTATATCATTACGCTCAGGGGGTAAACAGATTTAAAAAATCCTACTTCTGCCATTTGTGTTTGAATTGTGAGGATAAGAAACATTCTTTTGTATTTGGCCTTAAGAGTGGGTAACTGCATTTGTGCATTTTTTACCTCTGCATTATAATGTTGACCCTTTTTTTATTTTTATGTATTTATTTATTTTTTTTTAAGAATCTCATCGGTCTTGTAAGAAACAGTAAAAAGACCCTATGCTTAAGGAAGCAATCTATCTTCTGTTTTACAGACTTGCTTTTAAATAAAATATTTTTTGTTGTTTTTGTAATTTTACTTCCATGATCTTTTATATGGAAACCCTAGAATATCATTAATATAAAAGTCTGCCTAGGCTACCACTTCTCTATAATATGGCTCATGTAGTCCTCAGTGGGCAAGCGTCCTTGCTCTTCGGTCTCTTCCTTGGGAAGTGCTTCATTGGACCGGTGAAGAAGCCTCTCTTCCCGATTCTTTATCCTCTGCTCCATCCTCTCTAGCTGCCGTTTGTACTGGTAGCGCTGTTGGAAGAGGTCCTTTGCATAGTCATAGAGCTGCATGTCCAAGTCATTGAGCTCCTCAATCCTCCGGATGGTGTCATTATCCACCTCCACCCCTCCTGCCCTGGTACTGTTGTACTGCATGAAGGGCCGGATGAATTTCAGATTAAAAGTTCTCTCAAACAGGTATTGAGTCTTTCTCTGGAACTCTGTCAGGCCAAAGAAGGCCATGTCTTTGAGGTTCTTTTTTGCGCTCTCCAGCAGGATCTGTGCTCGCTTGTTCTCTGGGATGAAAGACATGTTGTAGCAGCCCACTAAGCTCAAGTCGGCCAACATCCTCACTTGGCGGTTGTTGGCCAAATTATACGGGCAATCCATGAACTCCTGCAACGTGCAGCCCGACCAGTCTGTGCCTTCATAGCATGACGGCAGCTCTTCAGGAGTTGGTGTCCTGCCATCACACATGTGCAAGGAGGTCTTCCAAGTAGCTCCTCGTTGGACGTGACGCCATTCGCTGAGGTAACGAGATACGGGGTCTCTCAGCAGTGTGATGTAGTAAAATTTTCTACAAGAAGAAGAGAAAATAAAATAAATATTCTGCTAGTAACAAGAAAGATGCTTGGCAAGTTGAGATCTGGTGCAGATATCAAAAAGACAAGAGTCAATCAACATCACAGCATCCATTCCACTGTACTCTTAGATTATTTTCTTCTTGCAATATCTCATGCGAAGTAGTTTGTGCAACATTAGACCCACGTTTCTCTTTCTCATTGCCCACCATTTTAGTCTTGCCAAGTAGCAATGCTTTCACAGGGACATCCATTTTCAGCAACAGACTGCAATGTCAGAACAAATCATCAGGATTCAACTGATCTACCAGCTTCAGAGAGCAACTGTGACTTTAGGGACTGCTTGGCCTTTCACACGACCATGCACCCTCTGAATCAGCCAGGACTTGCTCTGCAGGACAGCCCAGCAACTGCTCTGTTTATGAGCTGGGCCTACCGTTTTCACTTTGTGCAGATGCTGACCAGGACACCTACTGCTTGATTGATCTGGCTGCCGAGCTGAAATCTGGGAGTCTGCACCAAGTAGCAGGATAACACCACAGGAACATAAGTGAAAAATAACGGGAAATCAGGAATGCAATATGCTTTGTAGAAAGAGAAGGCAAGAGTTGACAACCAGCAACAGTAGCAATAGCTTGTTCTCGTTTCAGCTAATCTGCTGTCAATTCAAACAAACTTAAGACACGCTTTTGATACACAAGACCAAAAAGGAGGAAAAAGCAAGACAATCGGAGGAACACACATAGTGACATGGGGCATTCTTGCTGTTCCAAGTATAATGAAGTCCCCAACAATACAAGCTGTCCCTTGAACTGAAAACATGACAGCTGTCCTGTACAGAGGGACCCTCCAGCTTCAGCCCACCTTAAGCCTGGATAAAATTCTGGGATTGGTAGCAATGGCAGTCTGCAATGACCCTCTCCAGACAGAGGGAAATGGGCCTTTTTTCACTAACTTCCAGTAGCTTGGGACTACGGTGTCTCCGAGTGTTTCTAGAACAAGGAAATACCTTCTCTAGTTGCTGAAGCTGGCAGGGAATTAAATCCACGTGTGCTCCCGGCGCATGGGGCTGTGTGACGCTGTGCAAAGGGGAGCACCTGGCTTTAGCAGGGTAACGTGCGCATGCTACTGGAAGTACTTCGGGGGGGGGGGTGTGTGTGTTCATTTCCCCACCAGAAATGCATCTTTGGAATGCTGCTGTGGCTCGCTGCCCTGCTGGCATGGCTTGGGAGAGCTGAAAGTGATGGCCATTGTGAGGGCACTGCACAGTTTTTTGAGGGGAAAAAAAAAGTAAAAAAATTCTGCTTTGGCTAATACTAACACACCCTTATTTTCCTAGCACCTCCAATATTATTCTTCTTAGCAGTAACCTAAATTACTCCAATAAGAGTAATTTAATTTTAAGAAAATAACATCAAAGACATTGCCCGGGAAGTCTGATTTTAAGGAATGTTTGCTTTCCCAATTTAATATTAACTTGCTGAAGGGTTGTTCCAAAGCAGTAAATTTTGGTCTTTCCAACAATGGCAATGGGTGTCCACTCCAGCTCCAACTCCTTTCCTGCTTTCTGCCTTCAGAACTAGGGCTGGTAAAAACATTTGCTATTTTTGGAAACTTTTCCATCTCTCTTCATACCAGGGGTATCACGCTGTCTAGTAATACTGTCTAGTACTGTCTGTGTACAGGGAGAGGGGAGAAAGAAGGGGAGCAGAGTGCATAAGAGAAACACCTCCCTTAAATTTACCTCTTTTTCCTTCATTTACATTGCAGCCTGTAATGATTCAACTACCCAGACTGAGATGCAGCTATAATTTATATAGACAGTGGTAAGAAACCTCTAACAGATGGGGATAAAATATGACAGTGGAAGGAAAAGGAAAGCAATGATGAATGCCAGATGTTCAAGCAACAGACACTGATGCGAAACACTACCAGCATTTTTTGACTTGTGAACTGGAGTGGACTTTTTATTTACACCAACGTAATCCAAAGGCTGCATTTTTTCCTGAAACAGGTTGAAGCCCAGTTATTATCATGTGGCTTACAGAAGCAACTAGAAGTTTCACCTAAGATCAGGGACTCATTTGTGAGGCATCCAGAGATACAGGAGGAGCTGACTCCTGTTCCAGCCTGCAGTCTATACAAGTGTGGATAGGGAAAAAAAGAATTAGTATCTGCATTTTGTAGACAAGGGAACGACAAATATTAAACGATGTGCATGAAGTCAAATGGTGTTTGTGGCAGAGCTTGCATAAATCTGATTGCTGTAAGCCTGAGTCCAGTTCGTCTTTTCTTCCTCTCTCTCTCTCTGTTTAAACTTCAAGAGCCTATTAGTAAATCAGATTAATAAATATCATGCAAAGCTTCTAGGGTCCATTGAAACAGCGACAGCTTCAAGAGGACATGGACTGAAAAAAGGTTAAGGAGCGAGTATTTATTTCTTCACACCTGCACTGTAAGAACTATTATTTTAGTTGAGGCGATGCACTGGTAAATATTTTACCATGAGCGATCTCTCTCAGTGAATAGAAAGCATAGTAAAATAGGTTACGTTTTTTTAATTTATACTGAATTTGATGTGCGCCTTCCCAGGCCCATCACATAGAAAAATGCTTGAAGGAGGGGAGCTGGCCTCCTAACATGGAAACAAGATATATCTTTGGAAACTGAAATACAGGCAAAGGAACGAGGCCCCTTGAGGTACTTTACGAAGCTGCCCCCCAAAAGGGCATAAATTAAAAAAAAACCCAAAACAGAACAGAGAATGGAATGCAAAAGAATAGTTTAAACCGTCTAAGCTGAGGTGCACCATTGACATGCTGAAATTTATACTCCCAAACCTGTATTTAGCTTTTTAGAAGGATATTGGTTTCAGAGGTGCAGATTCACTCAGCTCTCAGGAAAGTGAACAGCACACCTTCAGGAAGACTGGAGCCTCAGGAACCAGAGAGATGAGCCACTCTGATATTAGATGAATGACCGTGGAAGTATTCACCCAAGGTTCTAAAGATACTGAAGTTTCCATTATCAAACTGTAACTGGGGGATTGCCTTTAAGTTCAGCGAAAAGTTAGATATCTCTCTAAAGCATCATCCATTAGCAGCATCGTTATTAACATCGCAAGCCAGAAAGTCGGGGGAACTCTGCGCCAGCGTGGTTGAGAACGCAGGCAGTGCCACTTGTCAACAGTGGCTTGAAATTTATGAGGAACCACATGACTAGTAAGTTCTCTTTTGTCATCAGAGATAAAATAAACCCATAAAATACATGCAGCTGTGAGTGCCCTTCCTTTCAGCATGGCGCCCCAGACAGCTACTTAACTTAAGTATTCCTAAAGGCTCATTTCAGAAGTGTGGTCTTCTCCTAGCCCAGATGGTTCCACTCAATACTGCCTCATAAAAAACCCAAACAGCCCCAGTTTGGTCATGCAATGCCAAGTCTCACTGGCCTTCCTGGAGTTAACAAGCTTGAGCAAGAATAGTGGACATTCTAGTTAGAAAGACATTTCTTTTCTTTTTCTTCCCACGTGAAGCTGGGCAGAACAGCATTACTGCTCTTGCAGGCTCCCCTTCTACATATCCATGGGGTTGTGATCCCCAGGGGGACAAAGAAAAGCAGAAGCTGAAGTCACACCTCTGCCTTTCCTCAGATTATTATCCCTGGCGGTCCCAATGTGAAAACCCACCTGAAGCTCCCTGGGGCATTTGCAACTTCAGCGTCGCAACTCAGATCTGCATGCAAGCTGCACAGTTTTGTCTGAGGAAAGAATCACTAGCGTATTTATTAAAAAGAGCAAAATGAAATCATGTTTTTGATAAACAACCCTGTATTAGAACTGAAGTTTCAGGGAGAAAAAAATCCAATATTAGAAAGGAAGGGCAATCTTGCAGTTGTAGTATACAAATGAATTCAGGAAACTTGAGCGTAAGTACCCCTTCTGTCAAAATTAGCCTATGTGCCCTAGACAAATCTCTCTCTCTCTGCCTCCGTTTCCCATGTGTGAAGGGCTGACAATGCCTCCTTTGTCTATTTTGGCAATTCAAAACATAACATCTTTTGGAGCAGGAACCGTCTCCTTCCATGATTATGCAAAGCCCCTGTTTCAGCATGGATTGAGGTCAGAGGACAATAGTTAACTTGAGGCATATTTTCATGACACAGGCGTCAGGGGCACTGCTGCCCTACAGGATTCCCACCCCGGACCTCTCCTTCCCATTCTCACATAGCAGCACAAAGCAGCCTTAGTTTTGCCAGCAGAGGTTTTTTTGCAGGGCCATGCTGCAAACGCAGTCACTGAGCAGAGCTGGGTTAAAAATAACCCTTTCTTGCAGACATGAGGGAGTGGCTGAAGCCCCCATTTAGTAACATTCTGCCTTAATTCCTGTCAGCAGGTTCCTCAGCTAATGAAGGGGGAATGAAACTCTTCTTCCTCTAAAAAAACCAATTCCTTCTCTTTTGCTAATAACCAGTCAACATAATTCTGATAAAGTGACAGATTCCAAATATGACGCTATTATCTCTCTTCAGTTCATTTCCATTTATTCTTTCCTACACTCTTATTCGATATACCCTTCTTACTTCCCACTGCTGGTCTCTAAAATCTGCCAAGAACTGCTTATTTGACTGTGCAATCCCCTATTCTTTGCTGTGATTAAATGCTCCCCTCCCACACAGCCAAAATATCTTATTTTTTATTTCTACAGGTTATTCACTGAGCTTTCAAGCACCCCTCACAGGAAAAGCAAAATCTATAACAAGTCCCTCTTGACTACTGTGGTGGCCTTCCATCAGACAAAGAGCAAAATAAGGATAGCCACTTCCAATCATATGAGCTCCATCCCGCCTGCCAGGAGGGGGAAGGGGAAAGAAGCTGCATAGGTCAGCTTCAACCACATAACCCCAATCTGTCAAAGCAACATGCCCCCAGGCTACAATTTTTCTACTGCTAGAGAAAAAAATAATAAAAAAAAATCTTTCTATGTCCTTGCTGAATTAA